CAACTGCTTAACTTGAACTACACATATGGGAGGTTTAAGGGTTACTTTCTCTTCCTCAGGATTCTTAAGCAACACCAGTCACAGACCACCATACTCACAGATAACTTCACCAAGAATAACATCATTCTGGTACACTTGCACACCTGTCATCACCTCATTTACAGGAGGAGATTCAGGAGATACATTTAAACCAAAGGATTACAAGTTGTATTGAAATAATCCCCACTAGTATTATTGTAAATAAAGAATTGAACTGCTCATCTAGTGTTACCTGAAGATCAACCTTCTGGCTTTCCTGTTCTGACAATATACATATCTGTGTAATCTAGGATTAACGGTAATTTTAAAGTCGTCGTAAATTTCCCGGCGTTATTCTTTCTGATTTAGTACTCTCCCTATGGAAGTAAACCACTAACCTGATGAATGATACCATCAGATTTCACTTTGCCAAATCTAATTCAACGGTTGCCTTAACTACAGTATGCAATAATTCATCTTTGGGGTCACCTTCTGCCCACAGAGTACTTTCTCTACTTTTACCCTTTTCTGATAATTTGTACTATGTAGTATTCAAAGTCCAGATCACACCATCAAGCTGACTATAATCACGAATTTATCTTTGGTCATTGAAACATATACAAGTGGTCTGAGATAAGGATAAACTCAGTTTCTTCTTAGCTGTATGAACTATAATTCGTAATAGCAAGTGATGGCTCATCAACTTGACCGTTTATCACACAATAAATTATCAGTTTTTCCCGGAAATCTGTAGCCATTGACTTGTAACTACATGCACGAAAATCGACTTCTATTTCAGTAGATGGGGGAATTATTTTCAGTTCATTACATGAAATAATTGAATAATGGTTTCCTTTATCTATGACGAAATCAGCTGTGTGTTGCATTTAGGTGATAACATGTTTTTGTCAAACAGGAATTCCTAGTTTGCGATAACTCTGCTAGGACTAAATATTTCGTCTCTTTGCTAAGGTTTCTAGTAGGACTACTGTTATGGCATTAAAAACTTCTTGAATATTAGCAAACTTATTGCAGTTAAAACACTTCAAATTACGTAAGTGACAACCACTGCATAGACGAAACTCGCTGAATGATTGGCATGGACTTGAAAGTCTGCTATCAACAGCTTTCTATTCTGACATTGTATGGTTAGGTAAATGAAGTCGAAGAGAAGATTCAACTGAAGAGGTTAAGTATTACACCTAATCATGCCTCGCACACTTCCCCATGATAAAATGTTAAATCCAACCACAGTAACAGTTTGGATTGATCCCAGTAACTAGATTATCTCTTGGATGCATATCTCAGTACTCTCTGGAATTACATGCCCATATCGTTTGTAGTTGAAGACTGAACTGTCGCCTTTTCCTATGTGTAAGTCTTATAAGGACATTACACTTCACCCTTTAAATGTAACAAAATTCTGGGGGTCGACTCATTTTTCACTTTTGTATGGACATTCGCATCGCGTAAAGACTGAAATCACGTATTACTGAAGTGTCGTTCAACTTTGAAATTGAAATGAACAGTCCACATGAATATCTTCAGTGATTTCAGACTCAGCACATTTTTTGTTGCCCTCATATTGTAGGAGATGTTCGGTGTAACTTAACATCAGCTTATGGAGTCGTTCAACATATCTTATGCATGACTTTATTCACCATCCCTGAGGCATACCACTACTTTACATACTCGAACTATTCCCGCATTCTGTCAATTTAGTGGTTAGGATTATATCCATTAAAAACGCGGCATATCTGTACATGAACAATTCCCGTACCGAAACAACTTGCAAAAGATGACATTTGAAGGTAACTCAAGCTTCTGTTCTACGCATAGTCTGACTGTTTTATGAAATCAATGGTCTTGTAACCTTCTACATGTGTCTTCACACATACTTGAGCGAAGGATCACGAGTTCTTCGGTTCTTCACGATGATTGGACCATAACACAGAGGCTTTAGATTGCTGGGTTTCGTCCTACACGTTTGTTTGCATGCATGGCTGGAAAGTTACAAACCATAAAGAGACTCCACTTTAGTACTCCTCTTTAATTGATATTTGTTCGCAGTAAGCATCGCATCAAATTGTCATACTAAGAGCAGCTTTAGTCCTCCACGTATACAATCATACACAAGACATTAATGACAATGGCATATGACTAGTACATAACAATCGATTTGCTTCCAACAAAGGGCGTATTTCACACATGTTACGGTAACCAGTAACTATTATTAGTGTTAATGAGTTTAGTAATGTACTTCTTCGTGACTTCATTTTGGTGCCAAGTTGCATATGGGAGCGACCCTAGGATACAGCACTCAGTCATCATCAAGACGGATAAATGGTCAGTTAGTTGGGCGAAAGAAAGCTGCTACAGTGACGCGCTGGTCGGGTTTACATATCACAATGACCCAACAAGCTACACTAGCTGGAATTAATGTTCCTGCAGGACCCACTTTGCCAGAAGGGTTTAGGACAGAGATTAGACTTAAAGCAGTTACGGGCATAGTGTGAGGTGTTTATACTGTGCTGGGGGGGAAGGGTTGTGGGCGAAGTCAGACTGTTGAGGAACAAGGATGTGACAGCAGTAAGGTGTTTCCCTCAGATGACCAGCATGCTAGCTATGCTGCCTCTTCGTCCTGGACAGGAGGTTAGAATAGGTCAACTCCAAAAATTCTACATCCTAACTTACCCTATGGTGGTCCGTAGTCGGCGGTGAGTTCCTATTACGGAACTTTAAGAACCAATTCAAACATGACACGTGTGACCGATCAAAAGCAGTTGTCCCCTGGGGTCTGCGGTCATGCAACACTAACCCTCTTTCTGTTTCAGGTACCCGAAGAATCAATCAACTTGCACGGTGAGGGCAGCCGGAAGTACCAACCGCCCACACACTTCCAAAAGCACAAGAAGCCTACCTTAGTATCATTCTCCTTTACCGACATCACCATCATTTCACTTCCCCACTACTCTCAGTACTATTCTACAGGCTAGTGAGTCATCTTCACTTCACTCTGTGACCACAAACAACGATGAGAGCCATAGAAACACCCTCTTAAAGCCACGTCGCCAACTTCATATGGGAGCATTCAACGTCAGGACCCTCTGCCAAATCGGACAACAGGTATCACTAGCAAGTACTCTGGCATCTGGAGCCATGGATGTATGTTGTGTTTTGAAGACACGCATACAAGACGTAAGTGTTGTTATTCACTTAACCCCACCTGGCCAACTGGGTGAATACGGAAAATTCACCTTAAGAATGTCACGAGATACTTCGGTTAGATTGCGAGGACTCGCAGGTGTAGGGATAGTATTGAGTGTTAGGGCAGAAAATTCCCTACTCGACTGGGTCCCAATGGATGGTCATATGTGTGCTGCTGTCCGCCTGAATGTATCCGTAAGAAGGGCCGCGTTACCAACCGATTCTTTCCATAATTCCCGCCTACGCCTAAATCAACTGCGATTCGGACGAGATAAAGAATGAGTTCTATTCAAAACTGTCTGGTTTGCCATACGGATAAAACTTGGGCACTGTGGAAGAGTATAATTCCATTATGGATAAAATCTATTTTGATTAAGTCACACAGTGTGTACTAACGGACTTAACCCTAACTGACTTAAGCGACTCGGGGATTGACTTGTTACCAGGGGATAATCTCGTTGACGTAGAATATACAGATGATACAGTCCTTCTAGATGAGGACGCTGACTAAATGCAGAGTCTTCTGAAACCTTGAGGTGCAATCTTCGAATGTTTGGCATGCAATTCGCTCCCGCCAAATGTAAGATGATGCTACAGGACTGGACTACATTGACTCCTAGCTTAGAAATGGGGAGTGAAGTAGTAGAGTGCATTAACCGGTTCACTTATTTGGGAAGTTGCATCAGCCAGCGCCAACGGGTTGATAGCTGACGAAATCTCAGCACGGATTCAAAAGGCTCGTGTGGCATACGCCAACTTACACCATCTCTGGCTTAGTAGACGTGATATCCGGCTGGCTGTCGACCAAAGGGCGTGTGTACTGCTCCGTCCTCCTTTAAGGCTGAGACATAGCTGTCTTTCACCATAAGTGTGTCTGCGTTCTATCTCCAATGTTAAATGGTATAATATGGTGAACAGAATTGAGGTTAGGCAAGGAATGTAAGTTAATCAATGAGGTTGTGAAGCCGAATCGATAGAGATGGCTAGCACATGTGTTCCACATGCATAGCCGCCACCTTCCTCGACGAGCAATGCTAGCTGACATAGGATTAGGTTAGAAAAGAGCTAGTCGTGGTCAAACCAAGACATGATATCAATCCATTGAATCTTTGACAGTTTGAGCCACGCAAGGGTTGTAGGCTTTCTAATTGGGGTCCTCGTGATTCTTAGAACCAACAGATGGAGACAATTGATGATATGGTTCGAAGTCGCTCCCAATAGTGCATATGTTTTTCCACGTTACTATTCTTTTTCCACTTATTATTGTTCTTTCGTCTCTTTTCTGTCTCTCTTTTGTCTTCCACTGTGTGCTATATGGATTCTGACGTTCAAACTGCTGCATTTCTGTGCAAAGTTCTAATTTGAATCCAGTCTTTTAAATGAGTTATTGTTGTATCTACGGTGACTATTTCAAATATACGGATATGGATAACAAAGACGTTTGAATTGACAACATACAATCCCCCCCCCCCCCGAAAAGTCATTTATTCCCATATTCTGTGCCTACTTTAATAAGACTCCTAGAACGAGTCTTACATATGAAATCTCCAATTGCTTACTTACTTTAGAACACCTAATCATATTAATATAGAAATAATGAAATAACAGCCATTTGCTCCAGAATAATGCCTTGGGCAAACAATACTTATCTTCCTATACTTTGACTTTTAAATACTTGCTACCTTGGGATCTCTCGACTTTCCTTTCTGTGCTGTTTGTGACAAATTTTCACTGAAACAGATAGACCAATATCAAAATATGCATTATTTGCGGCTCCTCCTCCTTCCTTTCAGTAGTAACTAGCACTTGTAATCTGTCTGCCATACAAAACAGTAAGTCACCACGGTTTGCACAGCTATATTCATCATGTCAAGATCGAAATCAGTCACTAGCAAAAGGATGACCGAAAATTATATAAATATTTAATCAGTTTATAAAACAATGCATTAAATTATGAAAAATACTTATATTCAGTAAACAATATATTCGTTCTGATTTATACTGATGTCCCTCATGATGACCACTCAAAATAATCTTCTATTACTACAATAATGACCAGTAAACGTCTACTTTGACAGATATGATAACCCTAATAATTAGTCAAGCAACATATTTTTGCGCATTTTAGCATAGATCTTCTTCATTTCCTTCCATTTAATAGCTATATTGTCCATCAACTCATCAGAGCCAGGGGTATTTAGCGTCATAGATTTTCCTTCGGCCAAAAGAATATTCATTTCTTTCTCCAGCTCCTCAAATCGTTTAAGCAATTCCACATTTTCAGGTTCATCTTTTATCTTTGCCCACTTTTTCTCTCGTTCTTCTTCATAAGTCTTTTCATCAACAAGAAGAAACCAGTGTCCACATTGACATCGTGTAGGAAGATCACGATGGAGGAGCAGGTGCATTGTGTAATGATGATGTGGGTCACCTGTAATTAGAAAATATATGTGAAAAAAATCTGACAACGGTAATTTAAAAAAATACGTTTGGTAACACTTACAACACTTCTATTTATTGTAGACATTACTTTATGAATTTAAGACTAAAATCACAATATGAAGTGATATTGTAAGAGTTAACACTCCTATGATAGCAAGTAACAAAAGTGCACTCATACATACGCCACAAGACGTCGACGTTTAACAGTTTACTAATACATCATAAACTTTTACAACACCTTAAAGAACTTAATTTTAATTAATTTATCTTAAACGTTTCTATGATGATAATTTACTTTTCATTTATCAATTATTTTGCTTTTTCTTCTTTATTGCATTTCTCGTTATCAATATTTTTAAAACATCTCTCATTTAAATAAAATAATAAATAAATAAACACTCGAAATATTTTCCCGTGTTTGTAGAGTATTCTACCGACGAGTTATATTGTAAATTCAAGAATTTATTCAATTCTGCTTCTCACGCAATGGTTACTCATAACTCAAAACAATTCTATGATTACGAGCAATAGTTTGTGCTCGAAACGTCATTAGTTAATATTACTGTATAACACTGTGTGATTTAACAAAATAAAATCTTATCTGCAATGAAGACTTGATAATGTTTCACCACCCCACCCCCTAATATGTCATGCTGATTTTAGAGATCTATTAAGTGTGTTACTGTGCCAACTACGGTTCGTTTAGTAGACTCATAACATTAGGTCCCACGAATTGCGGCCAAATTTTTTTTTGGAGAACCTGATGTGATAAAGACACATAGGTTAGGAATTGTACATGATAATCATTACAAAGAAACCGAGTATTCCAGTTTGAATTATAGATTTCTGGTTTTCAGTTGTAAGTATATAAGGTAAGTTTTGGATACCAGACGGATATGGTACTGCACTAAAACACGAATATACACGCATTATGAATAAATAACATGGAGCAACAAAGTAATTTGGCGGTTCACTAATAATACTGAGAAGGCTGTGTAACAAAATATTTCGAAGATAGGAATGGACATTTCCATAAGAAGTCTTGTAAGCAAAGTCAACTAGGTCGCAAGTCGACTGTATTTTTAGAGTCAGATAGCAAAACACAATCATTGGTAATGTGGTAGTGAAGTAACACAGATTTGAAAGGTAGAGTTCATGTTTAATTTATGAGTATCAATACTACTGTCAAGTCACTGCTTCTATATGGTTCAAAGACTTGCAGCATTCGTCGTCAAGGGCATTTCAAATAGGCTTCAGACTTTCATCAGCAGTTGCCCGATAATGAAAATTCGAAGGCCAGAAAGCAAGAACCTGGTACTCAACAAATATGGCAAAGGGATGGAAATGGATTGGACACACCCTGGTGAGACGGTTTGAGTGTAATCATGCGCCAGGCCCTCGAGTTGGACCCAAATAGGAGCTGGGCTTCCGTCCGAGGGTGACATAAAGGAGACTGTGTGAGGGGGGAAAGCGAGCTCATGGACAGTCAAGGGGCCAGCTAAAGACTACTGAAGAGAACAAAATGAAATGGAAATGTCCTGAGGAAGCCCTCTGTTCCAATCGGATCCCAAAGGACGAATAACACATAATAAAAGGTTTTAACTGAAACTGTTCACACTAAGTAGTGAAATGAATCAGTTAGAGTAACGGTTAACTACACTAACTCTTCAGCCTTACAAAATAAATGAACTAAGAAGCATTTGGCGGGAAATGCCGTACAATTTATCATAAATACTTGCTAGGAACACATCAAACCTTAGGACCCAGACTATTCCTTTAAGGAAAATTTTATACTTTGAAACAATAATTTCAGGTTGGCACTGGCAGCGAGCTCTTCACCATGGAATTACGTGTTTTGTACAAAGCCGTCGACTTTTGAATCGATGACAAACTAGAAATCAAACAGTGTGGCAATAGAAACTTACTGTTGTCTAATTGTACTGATCACATTAGATTTTGAACCAACCTTTCAACTTAATCTCTCATGTTGCTGCCATTAATTCACCGGATATCTAGTTAAGTTAAACACTACCATTACTGGAGGGTTGTTATTACTTTTGTTACGCAGAATATAGTTATCGTTAAAGATGCTTTGTGCTAAACTATGTAAGGAACGGGTTTCAATCCTGATTATAACAGAACTTATGCTGGCAGAAGTATTCTTTACAGCAGTAGATTAGCAATCATGTCCGCAAAAAAGGCTGTTTTTAAGTAAACGAAGAACCTATGATTCATAACACTGTGTGAAATATCCAAATACCCCACAAAAAGGGGGAGTACGACTGAGCAGTTAGTAACAATCTTGGGCACGAACTTTAAATGTATCCACTAGAAGGAAATACAGCTTCCTAGTTGTATTCTCAATACTATTTAATCAACTACTCTTGCCTACTGCACGCTTCATATATAATGACCTACTGTCTTGACCAACTGTGCAGACAATTTTATATTTGTCTGTTCTTTTATCCAGATCACAGCTTCTGTTTGCTGGAGTTTAAAGCAACCAAAGTAAATCCTAGTCTTATTTCATATTCTAAGAAAGATCATTGTCCGAAAATATTAGGTTTCCCCTCTCTATCAACACTAATACACATAATAATGTAAATGACGACCACAAATGGTGTGTAATGGTTTCTTGAGTATGTGTAAATAAATTTCTTCGGTTAAAACACCCCACTACAACAAACAATCGCAATCAAAGTGTAGCAGTCATATAGTCGACTGAATATTATTATAGTCACCTCCAACTGCACACATGATACAGTGCTGTATAGGGTATATATATATATATATATATATATATATATATATATATACTTTCAATCCAAAACGTGCTTTGATTTGATTTGATTTACTTCGGCTATCTCCTACGGGAGGATGAGCCGGCTTCATGAACATCTCGAATCATCGCTGCCCAGGCGCGGCCATCTGATGCAAGGTTTTGCGACAGGGTTATCCAATTCTTGTTCCACAGACGGAGTCTGTAGACGGTTTGTAGCCCCAGGCACTCCATATCAGCCTTGACTGTACCAAGCCATGTTTTCAGCTGTCCACCCGTGCGACATCGCCAAGATGGTAATGGTGAGGGATTTAGAACTGATTTGACCAGATCGTCATCTGGTCGGCGCAGAACATGGCCAAACCACCGAAGGCGACGTTGTTGGACCAGTACTGGAATTTGGTTGATGTTGTAGCAACGACGAGAGTTCATGAAGTTTCATGGGAATTTGGTACGAGTTATGACCCCAGAATCGCTCGGCCTTTTGTTTGAGAGTGCAACTCTAGCCTTTACACAACCAAGTGTGACCTACAAGGCAGTAGGAGTGGAGTAGGGAGTCCACCATCCATTGGCAGCCGGTGACCGAGGTTCGGTTCATACGCCTTTTTGAATGGGGCCAGACATCCAGGACATCCAACAAGCCCTTTGTCCATACGTCTGCCGGTGAGCTCTAGTGAGCTTCATACGCCAGTCGTTGCAGGTTTGGAATCAGGGTTTAGCCATCTCCCCTAGACTGTCATCCAATGGACAGTCAACCCGGTGAAGAGCGCCGGGCATCCGCTTTCGCCCTCTCACTTTGGTGAAAAACACCTCCGCCACGTGAAGGCAGTGAGAAGAACTTCCTCAGGAGAGGCTATGTAAGACGCCTGGTCATATGGGAGCATTTCAAGAGGTGTGCGGAGGGGTGGCCAACCGGCAGCACAAGGCACCCACCCCCGACCATCCTGAGGCTATGGAGGCTTCCGAATGCTTCCCGAATGCACAAACATTGTTATGCATAACCTTACTAATTATTGAAAAATCTGGAGCGACGAATGTTAATTGTGTGGATTTCATCAAACACATGATTAGATCTCTTTATTTTTAAAGCAATAAAACACAATTCATCACAGACGATGAATTGACACTTTCTTTTTTTAAAGGTCACCCTTTATCATTCTGAAGGTAAGTAATTAGGATGAAAATATAACCGCCTCATATGACAGAAACGTTCAAAGTCCTGAAGTGCATTGATGCGTTTTTACGTCTACAAGCGCATAAACCCTTACCTCCTTAGGACGGAAATTGCTCAGAGCCAGACTTTCCACATCTTCTAGCTTAGTCAAGTAGACCAAACAGTCGATATTGATACGCTATTTCAAGATATTCAGATATCGATCAGCAGAGAGAAAATATACTACGTAACAAGACTCAAGGCTATGTTGACAAAAGCTAGACTTTCTAAAAAGGTTTTTGATTACATTTGCAGGTTTGTTTCATACAAATGAAACTGTGAACTGACTTACATTCGACCTCATAAAAGTATAGATTAAACCTCTTGAGAAAATATTCCGAGACAGCAACCTTGTATTTACATAAACGACAAAGTAGGACCAGTAACACATTACCAACTAAACAACTTTGTTTCACAGACACAAAACAATTGAATTATCAAGAGTTACATATTACAAACAAATAAGTTAAATATACATGTGACATAAAGAGAGGACCACTTCGCTAATCACTCAGCAACTTAGGGTGAGCAAGCACACAATCCACTAATTAATGCTTATCAAGCGTCTGAGAACCTATGGTTGGATATTTCAGAGGTACTACCTTAAAACCAGTTTTATAGAGATTATTCCTCTTTGCTGGGACTTGTTTACTTGCATTGTTCCCTAACTTTATTTTACCAAACCACTTGGCTCGTTTCATGCAAGCGTAAGTGTTATCTAGCGATATTTTCTGCTAGTTTAAAATACGTAATTGTTTCGGTGAACGCTGCAATCTAATAACTTTAGGCAGGTGTGTTAATTCGGTTGAAAGTAACAGACAGCTGTTAATGTTAATCAGTCTAGTTGTGGTACGCCATTTGTCAGGACTAGCGACTGTACTGGTGAGAAAAAAATAGCATTATTAAACAAAAGTTAATGTCCACCACAACTGATATGAAGAAACCAGAGAAGTGAACAACGGATATAAACATCCTGAGAGAATGATTAGTGAGTTACTTTGACAACAATAATCTAACTAGAAAACACTATTTGGATTCTAGGCTAGAAAACTGAAGTTAAAGACATCGGTGCACCTATCATGAGTGAGTCAATAACACGGGAACATAAATTCCCCTCGTTTATTGCAAACTCAACTAGAAATAGGTAAAATACATTTTCTGCTGGGTACGGATACAGCTTCGCGATTTAAACTAATAATAGTTGCCACACAAAATTTGAAAGAACTCCAAAAACCATACGGGAAAATTTAACCAAACATGAGTATTTAACTTACAGTGACACTGCTGGATAGTTCTGATGTCTGAACTACTAACTAAATTTGGGTTTTCCTTAGAACTGGGCTTGATTTTTCCAGCAGCTAAGACGCTCGGCTGAAAGTGAGTAATTTTGAAGGGCGAAATTAACAAGTACCTCTACCAAAGCAACTTCCCAAAGAAGATCTTCTTGTAGCTTTGACAACTTCGTCCCAATAGGTGTATTTAGAGACCCAGCAACTAACTTATTACAATGAAAAAGGATTGCTCTTACCTGTATCACACAGACTCGGGTTATGCTCTATAAACTTCAGCATTTTATCTTTTACTCCTCCAGGTACAGCAACAACTGGGGAATGAGAGGAAAACCGGGGGAAGAGCTTCACAACCGAAGCAATTTGTCTGGCAACCGTACTCAACGCCATTTCAGATATTTGTGTCTGGCGCGTAACCTTTCAATATCTAATATCCCTTTAGTACCAACATCCACTGGATTCATTTTTTTCACAGAGCTTCGTGGTTATGAAATTCAGTGAGTTTCCATTAGACTAAATCCTCCACCAGATTGCTGTAGGTGAGGTAGACTTAGAGGAGATAAATAGATTATTCAGACTATAGGGTGCTTTTTGAGCTGCACTAACACAATGACAGATCTATGCTCAGGAAAACTGAATTAGTTTATTAGTCACTCGATGCGGTCAGAGAGCATTGGACTATGACAATATTGTGACACTAATGGCAGGAAAGCATCGATGGCACAGCGGTAGAATGCTCTCCAACTAGGCAGGTGGTTTGGCTTTCGATCCCCGAATGACTCACTCCTTTACTTCGCTAAGCCATTAATAAGACTCTTAAAGAAGGAAGGTGTGGAGTACGCAACAATTTGATTGCACACTTTTTGTTAGATGTTGAAATTGGAGACACTGTACATGTCTTTTTTTAAAACGATTCATGTTGGAATATAGATAACTTCCGAGTACAGTCTAAAATATAGCGCACTGTTGGTCGTTTCATCTTCTTACTGATCTATACCGTCTACTTGCTTCACTCATAATCGTATTGGATAATTTGGATTTTTGCAAGAACCTCCTATCCTCATCCGAAGACTATTCTATAACCTGTACACAGTTTATACCAGTAGACACGAAACCAGCAGTGAACGCTTCTATGGATTATATTAATAATCTGTAGCCAGAAACTTTAACTGTATATCCAAGTAACTGTTTAATCAATGACCCATTACTGTTACACTATCATCTCATAAACTTTTATTTTTATTCACATACTTGTTCTGTTATCACACTCGCCAAAAATCCCTTACAGAGGTTGGGAATGAAGATAGCAACCCTATCCCTTAAAAATAAATACCACTGCCACCGAATCTTGCCAACTCTAGCTTGAAGCCCTATGATCCACCGGGAAAAATGGCAGGAAAAGCTAACCAGATTCTAGAGACAGGAAGTAAACAAATTAAGAATAAAAGTTAAATGAAGCAAATGAAGAAATAAACACAGTTAAATCAATGATGACAAAAAAGGAAGATTATTCAGGTGTCAACCTCGCCTAGTTAACTAGGTCGCTAGTTTTATAGCCGGTCCCAAGTCCGGGTAAATATGGACGGTTGCGCGTTGAGCTAGCACACCCACAACACTAAACATATCAAATGGCTGCATAAACAATCTTATTCTTCTCTCGAATCCGAGAGGCAAAATGACGCCGGCTGGTGAAAATTAAAAAGAACAACAGGTAGCCAAAGAGATGCGATGATTTGTCTTAGAATTACTGCGTATCTGCGAAAACAGATGGAATGGATGTAGATTGACAACATTGTCAACGGGAGAATCAATAATCTACTCAGATACCTAATCAGACAACAATCACGAACACACTCAGACAGTGAGAGGCTATCATGATGTCACCAGTGGCAGCTAAAGCCCTAATGCAGTGGGAACCAACTTCATCCAGGATCACGATAATAAGGAATATTCTTATAGACCACCACAATCAACAATGGATAACATCCCAAACGGTGGCATCAAAATCCTCACGGACGAAATGAATACCAGCTGAACGTGGAGCAGATAATACAGGAAGATAAATTATGGTGCATCGACAGACTCTGGGTCAAACGAATGAGAACGGAGAACTCTTCGCAGACTTCTGCGACTGCAGTGAATTTATGATTGGAGGCAGTGTGTACAAGAACAGGGACAAACACAAAGCAACATCGATTTCGTCTTACGGACACACTACAAACCAGATAGACTTCATCTCAATGTTGCTCGAGGAAGTGGAGATGCAGCTAGCCTGCTGGATACAAAGTCAAGAAGGGGAGCAGATGTGGTCTCAGACCATCATCTAGTTCTAGGAGCCTTCAAGGTGACTATGAAATCCGTGAAAACAAATGGAGACAGACCACAATTCAAGTTCGACATTCAGAAACTGAAGGACAAAAAGACAAGAGCAAAGTGGGACACACTACGTGGCATCACTGAGGAATCCTGAGTGGAAGAGTTCTGGAACTAATTCTCCGGACGTGATGTTCAAGGAAACATGTACAACCGTTCTAGGAAGAAGGAAGAGACAAGACAAGGAATGGCTATCAACGAACATCTACCTGGAAGCTAATTAATAGAATGGATGAGAGGAGTACGGTGAAAGAGAAGATGACTCAATGCTTAGATGGGCGGTATAAGTAGAACCTGAGTTCAATGTGCACTGCATTGAATCAAGAAGGAGGTGAAGAAGAGTGCTATTCCACGACACACTGGCCAGCAACAGAAGCAGAACAGGCAGTCAGGTAGCAGGTGAAAGAGACCTCAGCACATTATATCAGATGACCAGGTGTCTATCCGGAAAGACATCAACCCACATAACGAAACCAATAAAAGATGTCCAAAGAAACCTGATCACCAAGGAGGAGAAACAAATCAAACAATGGGCTGATCACTTTAAAGGACTCATGAGTCGACCATCACCTGCAACTCGCCCAGAAATACCAGCAACAACACACATGGAACTGCCTCCCAGTGGATACCACTCCTCCGACGAAAGCAGAATCCCTGAGTGCGTTCAAACTACTGATGTCCATAGATACAGAAGGACCACACGAAATTCCCCTACCTCGAAGCACTGAAAGCGGACCCAGAGACTGAGGCAGATGTGCCCGTGGCATTACTGCAAAAGGTTTAGAAGGAGGGAAAGATGCCCAGTGATTGGAAGAAAGGCTGGCTACCTCGTCAAGTTACCAACGAAGAGCGATGTACGCCTCACTCTGCAAGAACTGACTGGCGTGGAATAGTGCTCTCGCCCACGCCAAGTAAAATACTAACTCGCATCATCCTGGAGAGAATGAAAGATGCACTGGATACAGAACCCCGCCTGCCCCACCAGAACAAGCTGGATTCAGGAAAGGCAAATCATGTTCTGATCAAATTGCAACTCTACACTGAGTCATCAAACAAAGCATTGAATGGCAGTCAAACCTTCCTCCGCCTCAACTTCATCCACTTCGAAAGGGTCTACAACAGACGTCGTTGACTGGAAAGTATTTTGGAAACTGCTTCAACACCACGGCGTACCTCAAGTCTTCATCAATCTCACCCAACAACTATGTGACAGTACCTTGTGTCATGTGATCCACAGTGGAAAACTCAACAAGACGTTCGAAGTACATACAGGAGTAAGACAAGCTGGCTGGCTGCCTATTATCACCAACGATGATTTTCTTAATTGTGGTGGACTGGATTATCCGTAAGACTGTGCACAGGGAGCGAGGAGTCAGGAATACGCTGAACAACCAACAAGAAGACTCTAGAAATTCTGGATTCCGCGTGTGGATAATTTAGGCCTAATTTCACACGAACTCGAAGAGGCAAGTGGAAACCAACAAACTGACTGAAGAAGCTGACAGTGGAGACAGGACTGCAGGCGAACATAGAGGAAACTGAGATGATCAAGATAGCCAACGAAACGCAACAACAACCAAAAGTAGCACCAATCACCATCAACGGGAGAGATTTGTCAGAGGTTATCTCCTTCACTTACCTAGGAAGCATTGTTTCAGCCACAGGGAGTGAGAACGGATGAAGATGTCGAAGTCAGCCAGAATCGGAAAGTCGAGATACACTTTCATCAACCTGAAATCAGTTTGGAAATCTTCTGCTGCACTCACTCAGCATAGGGAACAAGATTCGCATTTTCAACACAACAGTGAAGTCAGCTAGTTCTTCTATACCAGTCAGGAACTTGCACTGCGTGTAACGGAGGGGATTTCTAACAGCCTGTTGCAGACTTTCATCAACAGCTGTCTTCGATGGCTCCATACTGAGGATCAAATGGCTGGCCAGAAAGAATTAGTAACAAGAAACTCTGACAGGGAACAAACCAACCAATAGCCGATCTCTCAACACATAAGTAGGAGAGAATGGAGATGGATCAGGCATAGATTGAGGAGACCGTCGAGTGACATTGCGCTCTAGGCCATTGCTCGAGTGGAATCCAAATGGAAAGCGACGAGTGGGTCTTCGGTGCAAGGGTGACATGGAGGAGATCGTGTGGCGAGGAAGAGATGAGAGATTATGGACAATCATGAACCCAGCTGATGAGGACCGTAGAAAGCAGAACAAGGTGGAAGTGTATCTCCACCATGGATAAGATTATGACATCTATGACATCTAGATCTAAATGAGTCGAAATGGATGGGAGTGCGGTTCCCTCTAGTTCGTATGGGCTGACGCTTGCATGATTTCTCATTTCGCTAAGTTGATTCGGAGCATCTTTTTTTGGAACTTACCATAACAATTTGTTTAGTTCACTTCGCATATTGAGCTTGTTAGCTCCTTCCAAACTTTTAAGTCATCTGTGTATAGTACCATATAGGATTCGGTGAAGTCAGGTAATTCACTGATTTACACGATAAACAAGAGGAGTTCGTGTACACTGCCTTGTAGCACTCCACTACGTAATGTTGTACATGAGGAAAATTTTAAGTTGATCCTGACTTTCCGCCCCTCACCTACAAGTAATTCCGTAATTCAGTTTAACAAGCCGCCCTTGTTTGCAGTATTTTCTCATTTTATGGGCAGTCCTCTGTGTGGCACTTTTTCAAAGGCTTCGCTGAAATATCCAGTTGTCCCTTTAGTTGACCCAGCTTTCTACTGGCGTAGAATTTGTTGGGTATGATAAATACTCGAGGAGGACAGAGAAGTCTATCGAGTTGATTGAACCCCATCTGTTTCACTGTCAACGATCAATCTGTTTATCCATGCGGACTGGAACATAAGGTGATACGGATAGTTTTCAAGTAAAAAGAGCTCAGCGGTGGTGTAGTGATGTGACTGTATACTTCTATGATCTGTTCGTACCATCACTGAATAATACACCTTTGAACTGCCATGAGAGTTACTTTCTACCATCGTTAGGCGGGGTGGTGTTAAGAACAGTCTAGTGACCAGTCCAGAT